AGACAGGTCATGGGTCTGGAGACCACATGGTTCTCTGCCTGCTAGAAGGACTGAGAAAGGCAGCCCACAAAACAGTTAATTATAAAAAATTAGCAGAGATGACCCAGGAAAGACATGAAAATCCGGCAGACTTCCCCTCTTGCCTTACACAGGCCATGAGAAAATACACCAACCTTGACCTTATAGCAGGGGTGGGCAACCTTTTTGTGAGTGCGTGACAAAACCAGCAAAATCTCTGACTCAAAATTCTTCTGCATGCCAACCCTAATTTTTTGAGAACATGTTACGCCTACTTGATATCTCTTAAGATATACGTATGTGAAGAACCTTGAAGAAATAATAAAATTCATTCGAGCGTCAAAAACACAGTATATGATGATGAAAAATACATTTATTTTTTAATGTATACATGTACACTGATAGTCTGACAGAAAACTTTATGACTACGTTTGATATCAGTGGGACTTTTGCTGCTGCATCACTGATGACAGAGATTTTACATCAGGTTTATATTTCATGACCTTCAGAGATATGCATGAGCTACTACGTTCATCCGACAGGCTACTTCTATTACGAGACTTAACAAAATTCATCACTGAGAACAAAGATTCACAACTGTAAATGGAAGATTATAAGAGAGGGTATCGCATGCCAGCAAAAGTTACTGGCATGCCATGTTTGGCACGCGTGCCAGGGGTTGCCCACCCCTGCCCTATAGGCCCAGAAGAAACCAAACCCCCAAAGAGACCTTTTAAACATGACCTTTAAGGTTTTTAATAATAGAGACAAGGAGACCCAAATCCAAAAACAAAGACGAGATCAGGCCAAGGCTGAGGCCCAGACAAAGGCCTTTCAGCCCCTAGCCACCACTCTCATAAACCCCAAATAAAGTTCCGGTCCTCTAACCAAGGGTAAGTCAGGGGCTAAGCCTCCTCCGGGTCCATCTTCAAATGCAACAGGAAAGTACACAGGAACAGTCCTGCCCAAACCCGCGACCCCACCCGGGCCCTGCCCAAGGTGTGGGAGGGAAGGCCACTGGAAATCAGACTGTAGTCTGGCCTCTCCAGGTCAGAACTCAGCAAGGCCACCCTCTGGATCCAATTTGGAGCTCCCAGACCTCCTGGGACTGGCCACCGAAGTCTGAAGCTGCCCAGGCCCCGAGAG